CCTTATCCTCTTTAGGTAGGTCTTTCTTAGCAGTCCCTATAGAGTTGTTTCTAATAACGCTCTACGTCTATGACTCTATCTAACTCTTTTTTATTATCTTCCCTATCTTCCTAGTAGACTGGGTAACCTATAACCATATATTCCTTTACTAAGATATATTAGTGGTTGTGTTCCTATACACTAGATACTACTTCTTCCTTCTTACTAAGGTGTCTAAGATATTTAGTGATCTATTTATACTTTTTCTATAGGGTCTGGTTGACATACTATTCCTACCTTAGGTTGGGGCAATGTTCCTTAGTGCATTTATGGAACAATTCTCCTAATCCTTTTCCTAGGCCTATAGGCTAGTATCTGGACGTATACTTCTATTACTAGTGTATTGGGTACTAGTGTATAAAGTACTTAAACCATAAGAGTGTATTATGATCTTTTGTCTATACTTCGGCTTTATGGACATGATATAAGCTAATTATATAGGTGTCTATAATAATCCATCCGTGTTCTAGATTACCTAGTATCTACGCTACTCGTGTACGTTCCCATAGGTGTTTACTATAATCCCATACAGATGAGCACTACCACCATTCCAAGATATCGTAATTAGTTTCCACCTATATCTGCCATAGTGGGTTTTCTACTATGCCTTGTTATTCCTTGGCCCAGTTATAGGTCCCGTGGGCGTTAAACCTAGTAATCTTAACCTTGTAACTATAGTTTGGGGCTTGGTGCTAGTCGCTTCTATATACCTAGTATAGTTCCTATAGAACCCTAGAGGTGATCTCTATATCCATAGTTATTTCCTAGCTCTTGATGGGTAGCGCCTCCTTGAGGTGTCTTAATATTCCGTCGTTAGAGTCGTTTTCGTGTGGGGGTATTAGTGTGCTAGGTTAGATAGCCGCCATGGCTATATGGATAACCTTGGCTCGTTTGCCTCCCATTTTCTTATTTAGGTAATTGGCCTTGAAGTGCCCCTTGTCTCCGTAAGTTAGGCACGCCTTATCCCTAAAACACTATTATTAGATATTATCCTATTTCTTCTAATATACTGACTGTTCGTTCTTAGTCTAGGCTTTATCTCCCATAATAACGTCTCCGTCTTAGTCTTAATATTCTCGTTAATGTTTCTTAGTGTTAGCCTTCTATCCAAAGGTAGGCTTTCCTAATTCCTTTTTTTCTATCTGGTGTTTATAGAGCCTATTATCTACTCATACTGCGAGTTTAATTAGTTCATCCAAGTTATCGGCCTTATCGTGGTGTACTAGTTCGTCCTTAATAATCTCCTTAAGACTGTTATAGTACGCGGCCTATAATGGTGTATTATCCTAGTCAATTCTTGCCTAGAGTTGTTGGAATTCCGCTGAGTAGGTACTTGCCGACTTGGTTTACCTAAGGCACTGGATTTATCACTTAGCCTATTATTTCTCATCCACTTCTCTAAACATAACCTACATTTATTCCTAGAAGGTCTCCTAGTCCTTAAATGTCTTCTTTATTTCTATTCCACATTTGGCGATTATATTTTCGTTTTTTAAGTAGTCGTCCGTTAGTGGTTATATCCATTTGGCTACCCTTCCAGTTATGTGTATACCTACTGCTAGGATCTTATCTTAATCCATAGCTAGTGTCTATTTATTATACCTATAGTATAGGTCTATATTTATAAGGAAAGGTTTGAGTTTTTCCTTATCCCCGTTAAATAGTTTGGGTACTTTAAACTACATCTTTAGAGCTATGTTCGTGGCGACCGCCCCGGCTACCTAAACCTAGAGTTGGCCTATGAGTTCCGCCATCTACTCCTTAAGCTGTTGGATCTTACTGGCCTATACGGCCAGTACTGTGGCCTGGTTACTTATGGGACTAGAAGCGGAGCTTCTAGTCGCGGCCCTAGAGCCTACTGAGCTTGCTGGTGTTGCCATATCAACTCGAAACCTTAGGTAGTTAAAGTGTTATAAGGGGTTTCCACGTACCTAACCATAGGTTTGGACCTTATGGGTATTTAGTAATTCGAGCGTAAGGGATGGTGGTACCAAAGAGGTTAGGTGAATATCCTACACTATATAATAGTACGATATAACAAATATTAAAAGAAGGCTAATAGTTCGTATAAAGACGAGTGGCTTTAATTTAGATATAAAAGTAAGCTTTTAAAGTTAACTATAAAGAATAGGAAATGTCCAAAGAGTATCCTATACTATATACCATTCATCCCATTCTTCTATCTCCCAGAATCCCGAGGGCTCCCTGGGATCCTACCCTCTTAGTGGGATACCTTCGCTGTCTCCCACCAAGTCTTTGGTCTCTTAGGATCCTCTAGTCTTGGCGGGATCCTGGTCACGTGACCACTAACATAATTCTGATAGGCGTCTAGCGTGTTGAGATGTGTTAGCCTCTAGCCTAGGGGGTCCTATTATCCCGCCGGACGTCTTTGTTTTCCTGCCGTCATTCTATATGATTGTAATATTAAGGTAGATGTTAAACGCTAGTATATAAGTAAAGGCATTAAAATTAAGCCCTTGGCACCTAATATATAGGCCTAGAATAGAGGAGCCGAGCGCTTAGGGGGTATAATTAAGGAGAAAGCCTACGTAATACGCCTTAACGCCAACCTACTATAGGACCTTTGGCTAGAAATTATATAAGCTATAGTGTATCTATATAATCACACTCTAAACTATAAGAACTAATGGCGTATACCATATAAGAAGTTCTTTACTATAGTCTCTCTTATTAATGGGATTGTATCTTAACTAAAGAAACCGGCCCTAGGGCATCTTAAAGCATATGGAAGTAAAGCATTTACTATAACTAATAATACC